GAAACCTGACTGGTGTGGCTTGGGGTGAGGAGAAGGAACTGGCCCTGGGAGTCTCCCTGGCTTCTGGAGAAGTGAAACATTTCAATGGACCTCAGAAGTTTTGCTTCTGGCTTTGCAGATTTTTATTCTGCTTCATTTTTTCCTGGGGGAGACAGGATTTTTAGAGTGTGTGTCTTATTGTAATTATGGGATGTCATTCCTCAGAAGTTCCTGACACGAGCTGACTGTGAGATGGCACCACAGAGCTGCAAAAACATCAGGTTGCCATTTTGTGTCCTGATTTATTCTTACGAGTGTTTGATCACGGTCAGTAATTCCAGGCACACCGATGACAAGAGTGGTGCTTGGTGTGGGGCTATGCACAACAGATCAGGCTATCAAAATAGCACAGCTACAACAGACAATGCATCGAGATGATAAAACCTGTCCAGAAAGAAGTGGTGTTTCTGTGTGCACACTGCAGTTGTCCAGTCGAGGACGGTGTCTGCTGCTTCACTGGCACGGGAGGACACTATTTGTTGTGATAAAGTCTCGTTGATTCCTGCTTGATTATCCATTTACTAATGTCCTTTTGTGCTTCAGTATTAAGAACCAGGACATTTAAAAAAAATATATCAAAAGTCTATAAACCCCATACTTCATGATGGGCTCCACCCTGGAGATCTGACTGTGGGTTTTTCTGTGTCTATAATGAAAAAAAAAATAATTACAAAATAACTCTTTCCTAATTCAGTGTTTCACTTCCCAAGACCCATCACCTATTAAAGTTTCTGTTAGATACTTTCGTGATAATGCACTTAATTTTGTGATGGTGAGCAATTATTATGAGTTTCTCACTCAGAAAAAGCTGCCTTTGGAATGCTGTGATTAACTCTCCCCTGCAATTGCATTTTCAGTTGCTATGGCTAAAAATGCAAAGACTTATTTGTTTTTTCTTTTGGAGGGCAAGAGATAAACTCACCTTAAGAGACACAAAATATGACATCAAACCAGCAGTGGCTATTTTCAAGCCAGGTTAAAACATATTTTCAATCCTGGGTAAAGCAGTGGTCACGCTCTGCAGAGATTAAATGCTGCGTGGTTCTGTGGCAGGGAGAAGTTAAAGGAAGGGAAGGTAAACGAGCTCTCTGCTGGCCATAGACGTCCGGTGTTCTCGCCGTGTTGAACCCCAAGTCTCCAGCAGTTCCAGAGGGACTATTTCAGGAGTGCAAATCAGACCTTTTGGCACCTTGAGAGAAGAGGGCAGGCGAGAGTTGTGTTTTGTGGGCTGTTAGATTAGAGCAGATGAAAATCAGGTTGTCCGTGGGGAAAGCTTGGCCTGTCGAGAGGAGCTTGGAGCACGTCTGCCCACTTCAGACTCTGGGGGAGGAAGCACAGGGCTGAAAGTCACCCCCAGTGGAGCGGGCCGAGGGCGAGGCACTGGGCAGAGCTCTCGGGGGCCGTTGCTGGCGGTCACCCTGCCTGTGCCTCTCACCCCCTCGCTCCTGCAAACGCCCCTGCCCCGGGTTCTGCTGGGAGCTGGTCTGATCTCCACTGAGGTGAGAGTTTGTGTCGATTTAACACAGGGAATTAGATCGATTCTCGAGAATAAAGTTTGAAAAAAAGCCCGTCTCACTCCAAATCAGCCCATCTTCCTTTGAAGCAGAAGCCAAGGCAGCAGCCCTTCGACAAGCTGTGGGTAACCAGGAGTTCTGTACTCGTGCCGTAAGCAGGACCTGCCTTCCTGAAAACTCCATGGCAAAGGACTCCCTGCACTTGTTCCAGCCCGTGGAACAGCCTCAGTGCTTCCTTTGTGCTGCCTGTCTTTCAGAGAAATTAGGACACCAGCAAATTTGGTTAGAGTGAGTTGCTAGTAAAAACAGGCTGAAGTGAGTTCGTCCCACATCTCTTGGGCTTAGGAGACAAGAATCTGGGGTTGGTTACTACAGTTCAGGATTAAATAGTGGATGTCCCATGCAGAAGGCTACTGCTCTAAACCCACCAGCGTGCCACATTCAACTGCAGGACAGCACATGTCAGAGCTTACGCAAGCACGGCGTCTTTCCTCCAACCATTTTTTGACAATTAGATTTATTCCTGTGGATGTCAAAGGCCTGGATTTCTTACAGGCAGACAAATGCCCGTAGTGCTCAGCACGTGCATCGAGTATTGAATTTCCAAAGCGTGCTGGTCCTTTCTTTGGAGGCTCGTGTGGGTGCTGAGCTGGAGGGACGCCGGGCTCGTGACCTGCGGCGCTGTTTGCTGGGGAGGGAGCAGCCTCCGGCCCCGGGGGCTCCGCTCGCAGCCCACGGGGTGTGGAATTCCTCCAGGCAGGGCAGGACGTGGGTCCTGGCTGCACAGTGGCTCGGGTAGGTAGGGCAGGACCGGGAAATATAAATAGCATGGCTCAGCTTTTGTGCCTCCAGTGGGCCTTATACGGATGAGAGCAGCAAGACTGCTGGTCGTGGAGGGGGGGGATGAATTTCAAACCCACACGTTAACGTTGGAGGCCGGACCTGACCTGCTTCATTTTTAGATCTGTGCTCCTCAAAAGAGAGCGTGGAGAAGTCCGTGAGCCCAGGGGAGTGATGAGGAGCTCACAGGGAGCACAGGGTGTGCAGAGCCAGCCACCACACCCAGCACCCCGGGGGCTGCAGCCTCCCTCCTCCTCCTCCTGAGCAGTCTGGCTGCTGCCCCCGAAGCAGGAAAACTGGGGTGAAAAAATGCCATCCCAGGGGAAGGAGAGAAATACCACTCAACTCAGTTCCTTTGGGCTGTGGTTCTAACTGCAGCTACGTGTTCTTCACCCATTGTAACGGGCAGCGTGCTAATCGCCTGGTGTGCAAAGAGTCCTTCATAATCCCTGCATGGCACTGAGTCGTCAGAGTCTTAGTACTTAATACTGATTCACAGGAGACTGAG